ATGAAGAGGAGTTTGAAGGCTTTTAAGGTGAAACTGTCACGCCAGCAAACTTGCTAGGGACTTGCCCGGCACTTGCTCTCTCCCTCTATTTGTTATCTTTCTTCTATCATTGACAGTCCCTCTAGGTTGTGGGCTGCTTGCCTGTGTTCCTGAGAAGCATCTACGGTACCAGTCTATAGAGTGTGTTTTCTTTAGTGAATTACCGGTATGTTTACCGGTAATAAACTTGCACTGTTTTATGTATATGTTTGATTACATACAGCCTTGTGACAGTTTTCCTGCATGTCATAAGCATTTGAATATAAATTAAAATGTTAAAATCAAATCTGATATTGTTTTACCTTTTATTTGGTGTGTGGAAGGTGTGCGGAAGAAGGGGTAGTCTTATACGGCGAGTATATAACAAACTCTGTATTTTGAGTGGAAATGTTAGGGGGTCGTCTTATACGCCCAGTCGTCTTATACGCCGGCAAATACGGTACTCGCCAGAGGGAAAGGGCTCCCACACCGCCAAACCTGGGCAATCTGCACATCATGTAATGATAGCAACGGGAAACAACACATTGACAACATGGTGATGCCCGCGTGTGATGGGAAATGGACTACTTACAGTTTCCAGACCTCCCCGAGGAAAAAGGTAACCTTACAGCACTTGGCAGAACCACCTTAATCAGGTGGTGGAACTGGACAACCACAGGAAGGGGCAACTCGAAATCACGGGCCTTTGACGGGACGCAATGAGGACTCGGCGTCGCTTCATGAAACGCCTCCCAAAGGTGCCAACTTGGGTCTCATCGAGAGGGAACCGCAGAGTAACCCGCACGGAGCGCATTCTGCAAGGAGCTGCCTTTTAACCTGAAAAAGTCTCAGGAGCCAGGACAGAGGAGCTGCTCTGGCCTCTAAGGAAGCAACAGCCAATTCTAACCTGGACCCTCTGATTATGGGAAATGGACTACTTACAGTTTCCAGACCTCCCTGAGGAAAAAGGTAACCTTAGAGCACTTGGCAGAACCACCTTAACCAGGTGATGGAACTGGACCACAGGAAGGGGCGACTCGAAATGACGGTCCTTTGACGGGACGCAATGAGGACTCGGCGTCGCTTCATGAAACGCCTCCCAAAGGTGCCAACTTTCTCATCGAGAGGGAACCGCAGAGTAACCCGCACGGAGCGCATTCTGCAAGGAGCTGCCTTTTAACCTGAAAAAGTCTCAGGAGCCAGGACAGAGGAGCTGCTCTGGCCTCTAAGGAAGCAACAGCCAATTCTAACCTGGACCCTCTGATTATGAAGGGCGTTCCTGGGAGCACGGGGGACACGGATGGAGCCGAGATGGAGATGGCAGCAGTGACCACTAACTCCCTGGCTGTGATGGTGACTGACGCAGGGGAGAATCTTGGTGGTAGGAAATAAACACGGAAGTATTTGGGGGTGACGGGCCATCAGGTTGGCAACTTCCTTTCAGATGGTTCAGAGGCAGAAAGTTGTTTTTTTTTGTTTTTGTTTTTTTTTTTTTACTATAAATGCAACCTTTCCAGAGTACAGTTGAGATAATTTCAATATAAAATTTTTATTAAAAAAGGGATCAGTTATTTTATTTTCGCAGTTCAATTTTTTTGAAAGAGGAGGTAGGCTGTTTCCAAACAAGGCTGGCCAGATGGGAAGAAATCTTCAACTCCAACTTGGCCCCATGAATTTGAGAATCAAAGCTTACGTGAGGCCACCTCTGTCAAGCTGCAGGCGCCCGCTCGGAGCGCTGGGCTTCTTGCCAGGCCGGCGCAGGGACCCCTCCACAACTGCTGCTGGGAAGTCACTGGCCAAGGGACTGCTTCAGAGCCTCATACATCAGCCGGTCCTGGGAGTGGGGGAGACAGAATAGAGTTGATCACTGTTTTGGGATGAACTGTGTCCCCCCCAGAATTCATATGCTGAGGTCCCAGGACTTCAGAGTGACCTTATTTAGAGACAGGATCGTTAAAGAGGCAGTTAAGTGAAAATAAAGTCATGAGGGTGGGCGCTCCTCCCAACAGGACTGGCAGCATCTTTACAAGGAGATTAAGACACGACAGGCACGAAGGGAGGGAGGTCCATGTCATCTGTAAGGGGCGGGGCCTCAGAAGAAACCAGCCCGCCAACACCTTGATCTTGGCCGTCTCATCTCCAGAAGTGTGAGAAACAAACTGCTGTGTTTAAGCCCCCAGGCTGTGGCACTTTGTTACATCAGCCCGAGCCAACTCACACACAGAGCTGAGCTCCCCTCCCCGCATCTACGTCCATACACACTCCTTTCTCCAGGGAGTACCCATGACTCTCATAACTGTTGACATAAAAAGTTTGCTCCCCAAATCAGGGTAAAAGATGCTTACGTCTCTATCTAATTAGTAAAGCAAAATTCGAAACCATACTGAGTCCGGACTGGAATGACAAAAGCGGAGGCTGTGTGAGCAATACTATTTGTCAGAAACTGTCAGAGCATTTTTCAATGGGGTTGGCTCATTCTACATTTGCAACAACGAAGTATGAGAGTTCTAGTTGCTTCACATTCTTGCTACCCTTTGGTGTTGTCAGTCTTTCACATTTAAGCCATTCCACTCCTTTACGTTTATCCCAAAGCAATACAGCAAGTTTCCATTTTCCAACCCTTTAAAATACTTTTTAAAAATCAAATTTTGTTAAAGTATTCCTCTGGATAGTTAAAATGTTCACAGGCTCAAAAATATCTATAGCCCCGGCCGGCGGGCTCAGTGGGTGGAGTGTTGTCTGCACCGAGAGGTCGCTGGTTTGACACCCAGTCAGGGCACATGCCTGGGTTTTGGGCTCGATCCCCAGTAGGAGGTGTGCAGGAGGCTGCCGACTGGTACTTGTCTATCACATAGATGTTTCTCTCTTTCTCTCCCCACTCTCTTAAAAATCAAAACATATTTAAAAACATGTATATAAATAGTTATAGAGTGAAAAAAGGCTCTGTTCTATGCAGCCCTCCATCAATATATCCTTTTAGATTGTCCTCTGCATATATGTGCAAATACACCAGAATCAAGCAGCATCACTAAGACATACATGTATCCTTCCTAAAAGGATAAAAAGACATCTACAATGTCCGGAATTATAGGTTCAGATGTGCTTTTAATAGAATCCACTGGATTGAATCTCTCATGTAGTCAATACACTCTAATTAGCAAAAGCTACTGTCAGTGTAACATTAATGGAGTTGAGTGAACAGGTTAGCAGGTATCTATGTACACATTTATGGAAGTGCTTACCATACAACTCCTAATTGCTCATAAAGATTAGGAACTATGTCTACATGATTTTATATCTTATAAGGCCAGCAGCGTGTCTGGCCTAAGTACATAGTAGGTACATGATAAATGTTTATGTACAGATGGAAGAATGAGATCTTAGGCAATCCATTAATACCCTAGGCGTAAGGGGTGGTTTTCCCTCTCATAAATGTCAATGTGAGAAATAATCGGGCAAATAGATGACCCACATTATCCTGAGTGTGAAGAAAAGAATCCAAGTTCTCTGGCCAGTGGGTGTGAAAACCACTAACTCACTGAGTTAACACAAGAGTAGGGTTTCTGCGATGTGGGTTTTATGGAGGAGGACAGGAAAAAGGCGTAATTCATGTTTGAGTGAGACTGGCTTCCTGATAGTGGAACAAGGCCCTAGTGGGCGGAGTGAAAAGACTATAATTTGAGGTAATAAAGAAGTGGAAAAATAATCTCAAGGTCTCAACATGTATTAACAGTTAACCCTGCCCCAGGTCACCGGTGAGCCGTTAAGGCTGAAGAACAAGCCAGCCGAGTAAGTTATGGCCTGCTGGTCTGTGAAGTGACACATGCTGGACGCGAGGGCTTGGCTTTGCTGAGCAGAGAAAATAAAGGACGACACAGCTGAAACGAACATTCTGGATTCACAAAAGCAACTGGCAAAGAGTCCAAGCTTAGTTGCTGGGGTATCTGTCATAACAAATTGCCAGCCGATTGAGTCTTCTTGGGGCCACGACAGACAGAGCCCCTCACCAGAAAGGAGGCGGGCAGGGTCTTCAGATGGAGCCTGGCGGGTTGGCACCAGCAGAGTGGGCGTGGATGAGGCAAACAGGCAGAGCTCCGAAGAAATGTTGCTCACCGTCCTCACTTCACACCCTCAACCCGTTAGTGAGGGTTTACTGGGCCAGGTGACAATGTCTGCATTTGGCCTCTAAACCAGACCCTACGGCTACGCCAGCCAATTGTTGGACACCAAATCCACTTTACCTGCTGTTACTACCCGACCCCAAGTTCAGCATCGCGAGGCACCAGGGAAGCAGCTGCTCCCGGGAAAGAGAGGTAGCAGCTCGATTCGACGGCCTGAGAACATGCCTAACATTCCAGAACTATGAAGACCAGCTCTGCAGACCCTCGGAGAGCACTCACACGCCTACCTCTGTTCCTTTTCTATTTCAGACATCTCCTGGTCATCTACTTCATGTTAACTCACTTCAAAGCCAACTGCTATTTCCCTAAGTATGTCTGAAAGGCTAAAAAACTATAGCAAGTGTTCCTTTCACATTTAACAAAATCCAGTGATTCTCTCAGTGTGAAAAAAAGGCACAAAGTCCAAACCCTCCACAAATAAGGCAGATGGCTAAGCTGATTATTACAAGTCAATTACCTTGAGTACGACTGTTTTACTTTCATCTTTTCATCCTAGGGCTTGAAGTCAAGTTGCCCCTTAGACCCAGCCAGAGTGAATTCCGAGCTGGCCAGGAAGTGGTTTTGGCACGAGCTCCTCACCTGAGCTGGACCAATCACAGGCTTCCCTGAGACGCTCCTGCGAGAGCCATCAGGGATGCCCTTGCTACGGGGGCTAATAACCGAGTAACCTCTATGTCTGGGCCCGCAGGCAGCCATCTTCCCCCGCAAGATGAGGTTTCCCCCCGCCTGCCCAATGCCAGCTACACCTTCAGCATTCTTATCTCCTTGGAGCTACACTACTCAAACTAAGTGTTGGGGACTTACCCGTAAGTTTCAGGAAAGTAAAAACATCTTCACCATAACATCAGAAAAGGTTAAAAAACCACTCTGGCTTTTTCTGACAGAAAATGCCAGGTTTTACATGGTGTTTCTTACTTTGTTGAGGGGTTGTTTGTGTAAGTTAAAAATGATTGTTATGCAGTGAAGTCCGGCAGCTGTGACACTTACAAAGAGAGCTGGCAGGGAGATACCCAGCCCTGGGAAATGTGTGGGTTTGATGCTGCCGGGATCCGTTTTGTTCACGTGGATCCTGGAGCTGTGATGTGCCTGGGCCACGGGGACCTGCTCGTGGACTCCACCACAACTGCCTTTAAGTCGTTAGCCCTTTATCACCCAGCTCGGTGGTTCTCATTATGATTATTGATTGAAAACTGTAAGTCAAAGTCCAAACGGTTACATGAAGAGATTGCTGTGTTTCTCATTCTGATTATTGATGGAAAACTCTAGGTCAGCCCTGGCCGGGTAGCTCGGCTGGAGCGTCCTCCTGAGAAGCCAAGGTGGAAGGTTCAATCTCCGGTCAGGGCACGAACAAGAATCCACCAGTGCAAGCATAAATAAGTGGACAACAAATTTCTCTCTCTCTAGGACACTCACACAGCCAGTCATTTTGTTTTCACGAGGTCATACCTACCGGTCTAAATTCTAGTCTTTTTTTTCTCTACATTTAAGAACATTTCTTACCTTTTTTGATATAGATGACTTCACTTTCTTGAAAGCTTCTTCAAAGTGCTTCTGATTAATCTTGAGTTCACCTGCGGGGCAAAAGCACACACACATCTGGGTCCCCCTGATCCAAATAATCAAAGCAATTTATTTTGGAACAAATTACATAAAAAAGTACTTTGTCTTTAATTAGAGAGAGATTTTTACCCCTTTAAAAACAAAAAAAGGTCCCTGTGTATTATTTATTAGTTTATGTTCCCCCCCACCCCCCGGCTTTACGGAGATATTGTAGGATTACATAAAAAAGTACTTTGTCTTTAATTAGAGAGAGTTTTACCCCTTTAAAAACAAAAAAAGGCCTCGACCGGTTTGGCTCAGTGGATAGAGCGTCGGCCTGCGGACTGAGGGGTCCCAGGTTCGATTCCGGTCAAGGGCATGTACCTGGGTTGCGGGCACATCCCCAGTGGGGGGTGTGCAGGAGGCGGCTGATCGATGTTTCTCTCTCATCGATGTTCCTAACTCTCTATCCCTCTCCCTTCCTCTCTGTAAAAATCAATAAAATATATTAAAAAAATAAAAACAAAAAAAGGTCCCTGTGTATTATTTATTAGTTTATGTTCCCCCCCACCCCCCGGCTTTACGGAGATATTGTAGGCATATGAAAGTTAAGGTGTGCAACATGATCACAAGATATATGCATATACTGCAAAATGATGCCCATAATAAAGTGTGTTAACACCTGTAGCAAAGCAGGGATGTCAGAATGTGTTCTGTGTTTACAAGACAACGTCCAGACAGAGTCATTAGTAGCTGCCAACGCGTGTACGGTGGTGTTAATTTTTAGTTACAAAACAAATCCCAAGCGAGTCATCAGATCCAGCTCTCAGACAGCCTACTACCACAGATGAGGTCTTTTACAAGAGATTCTAATTTTGCTCATTCTATCCCACCTACTCCAAAAGGAATTTAAAATAGATGACAATAAAAGAAGTTCAGATAACTGAATCTTAAAATTAACCGAAAACCTTGGGACTTCGTGATTAAGATACGTGTGCGGACGAATCTAAGCTGGGCACATGCTGCTGTAACCGTAAACAAATTTAACTCTAAGATCCCTGGAGGCCTATGGAAAAAAGGGGGGGGGGGGATCAGCACGACTAAAACATCTTTTGGAAATCTACCGAGACTTGAATTTAGATAAAGCACGGGTTTACAGGAAAAGGCAGGCCTTCTGAAGAAGGTATGTATAAGGACTGTCAAGGACAGCCACACGCTGATGCAACAATTACCTGTCACAGGAACCAGGCAAAGGAAAGGCTGTATTCTGTACGTGGCCTGGCTGGACTGCAGGCAGAAAATGAGTCTTTTTTGGCCACACTTACCCAGATCATATGAAGACACTGTCAAATGTGAGGAACCGAGCCGAGCTGTTGGGATGGCCCCAGACCATCACATAGTGACATGTACGGATTTTGTATTTTGAAAGGAGAGTCTAAGTGTACGGAAAGTTATTTCAATTTTCATTTCTCACGTGTGTGTGTTTTCTACTTAATATTAATATTTTCTACTTAAAATTTACATCATACTCTGAAAGGTTTCTAAAGGTCTTATCAGACAGTTTTACTATCACAGATGAGCGACGCCAGACAATGGTCACGTTCCCGATTGACAGCGGTTCTAGGAGTCCAGAGTGACAACTGAGAGAACTGAGAGCCTCTGGGGAGAACCGTACCTTTTTCATGTCCACTGTTCTGTCTTGCCATTTCCTGTCTCAGGGCACAGACAGAAGCTTCCCGCACCAAAGCAGAGAGATCCGCGCCCCTGTAATGAAAGAAGTCGTCTTAACTTATTTATTCTTAGATACTGTTTAGGCCAGAGCAATTTTCTTTTAAGTCGCATATTAAACAGAAAAGAAACTGACCAATAAATGTGGGATAAACTAATTATAGTCAGTAGGAAAGAGCTTTAGCTTTCACTTAAAGTATTTCTAACTTTCAGAAGGAAGGAAATGATGGAGGAAACAATGCAATGAATCATAAATAGTCCCATGGTAACAGCTATAGACACCCACGTTAATATAAAAAGCTTAGAACATCGCCCGACTAGCGTGGTTGTGGTTGAGCATCCACCTATGAACCAGGAGGTCATGGTCTGATTCCCAGTCAGGGCACATGCCTGGGTTTCGGGTTCGATGCTCAGTAGGGGGCGTGCAGGAGGCAGCTAATCAATGATTCTCTCTCATCATTAATGTTTTTTTCTTCCCCTCTCTGAAATCAATAAAAATATACTAAAAAGAAAAAAAAAAGCTTAGATCATCATCAGTAGAAAGAAACTGACACACCATTTATTGTAAATTTTTGTTCACATGGCCTGTGCTAAGTGCTGACGGCCCATTCCTAAATTACCTCACGTCTAAGACAAGCTTCTATATAAAAAGTCATTTATGGCTCCGTGTTCAAAAGGGGAAAACACAAAGGCTATAAAGTCTTTGATGTATTTGATTCAAGCTCAAGCTAAGTGGACTCTTAAGTTACTTAAAATATGACAAGAACTAACAAGCCTTCACTTAATTATTCCATGTAATAATATGCTGACTCCACCTGAGTTCAACAGAAGACAATGGTGCTGACTGGTGTTTCACTACATTAACATCTTGACCAGGTCTTGGTGATTCTTTGAGAAAGAGCTTGAATTTGGGACAAAAACCTTATTTCCAGACATTAACCTATTTTATTATACAATGTTGATGACCCACGTAATATATAAAATGAAAGACCCACAGAGTTTAAATTATTAACCGAATCCAATGTTTCTGTTGTAAAGTGTTAGGGTTAGAATATTAGCTAATAATCACATACATGCTGGACTCGTTGAGACCATCTTAAATGAGCCAAGGTTACTGACCAGAGCGCATCTCTCAGGGGCGTGGGGGTGGCAGAACAAAGATTGATACTCAGAGTCTAGAAGCCCATATATTAAAAAATTGGAGATAAAACGTCTCTGACCACACTCCCTAAAAACGATCAGCATGGCTTCGAGTGAAGTCACATTGATAAGGGATGGTGATGGGACTTCTTCAACGGGGACTGGAGATAACGGAGGGCCTGGGTTATACCAGTGCAGCGGTTCTCAACCTGTGGGTCGCGACCCCTTTGGTGGTCGAACGACCCTTTCACAGGGGTTGCCTAAGACCATCCTGCGTATCAGATATTTACATTATGATTCATAACAGTAGCAACATGACAGTGATGAAGTAGCAACGAAAATAATGTTATGGTTGGGTCACAACATGAGGAACTGTATTTAAAGGGCCAGAAGGTTGAGAACCACTGCTCCAGTGGCTGTGTTCTTTGGCTGTAAGTTTACGTTGCTGAATGACAGACTCCTGAAGTTCTCAACAATGAAAACCCCGCCTCCGTCCACATTAGTTGGCCTTGACCTACAGGGGCATCATGCACCCCAAGTATAGTGTGGACAGTCAACAGAGCCTTTCAAATAAGCCAGAGACATCTTCCCTAATAAGCTTGCTTCATTTCCTCCTGTATACTCAAACGGGAAAGTTAACCAACTTCCTTAAAAACATATGAAAAAAAACCCACCACCACCAAAAACTACATCCACCACACAGATATGAGTGCTGAGGGCAGAAATGTTTCCCTTCCTGCATTTACTACGGGCTGTGGGGATGCTCATGGGTGGATGTGCTGCGAAGTAAGTCCTGAGCCATGGAAATAGCACAATCGCTTATTCTCTTGGAAATGCTGAAGCACCTGGGTAATTTGGCAACCAGTCACAAACACTCTGACGGACGGACACAGACAGACAGTATGTGAAGCGCAGCCACGGTCGTGGTCAGGGCAGCTGAGTAACAAGAGTCAACACATGAGAGGACCCCCCACTTCCAAAATTCCTCCTTGTGGGAGATGCTTCTCTAAAAGGAAAGAGCAGGAGAGGGCCAGATCCTACACCAGGTGCCCCACGGGATACCCGACTTAATCCTCCCAGCATTGCCCTTCTCCCTCATGTGACACACGAGGACACTGAGCCTCAGAGAGAGAGCGAACTTGGGACCGAGATCCTTACGAATAGCAATCGCAGCGCTGGTCACCAGCAATCGCTTCCAGATCGACATCTGTGTCCAGTGGGGGTTTGGTGCCATTCTGAGTGAGAGAGAAAAAACGATTTGTCATTGAGGGTTCAATGACCGATACTTTTCCACATGCAAGGTTCTTAATAAACAGCACTGGCTACGTGATTAAATGAATGTAACTGACTCCTGCAGCAGTGTTAGAAGATTTTTACAAATTTCCATTTTGAGAAATGAGGTT